CCCTGCCCTCTGGCACTGGGAAGCCATTCCCTGTGTCCTGTCTCTCCATCCCTTGTCCCCAGTCCCTCTCCAGCTCTCCTGTTGGAAAGTTCTGGAAACTCACTGCTCTTCTCCTACCTTGAAATATATCCTGGCGTGAAGGAGCCACTTTCTCGGGTTTGTTGGTCACCAGGGCAATCTCTGGGGAGAAAAAACAAAGGCTTTGTGCTCTCAACTACACCAAAACTCTGCCATATCTCCACCAAAAATTCCTTAACATGTTGGTTCCCCACATGTCCTGCTGCAAACCACTTCCAGCCCAGGTCTTCTCTCACACTGAAATATCCTTTTTTTTAATTTTTGTGAGGAAATATTGGATTTTATGGAGAGAAATAAACCACATTTTAGCCTGGTAAAAAAAACAGAAGGAGGAGGAAAAGGGGGGGGGGGAAGGAAAAAAAAAAAGCCACAAAGCTTTTCTTAAAACACTGTGCAAAGTCAGAATGCAAAAGGAGTTGTGCAAAAGGACGTGGAAGAAAGCCAGGGAAGTGACTCAGCACTTCTGGAAGGGAGTTCTTCCAAAGGCTGTGAACTAATAAACCCTGATTATGCACAGACTTGCCTCTGGTAACGAGATCAGGAGAACAGCAATGCCCTGGAGGGTCTGAGCTGGGCCTACACCCCATCTAGGCCCAGCCTAAAGTGGTACCTGCTTTCTGCTCGAAGATCGGGGCCGTGGCCAGAGGGACTGTTTTCATGTCAAAGGGTTTGTCTGAGGGCTCCAGGGTGTATTGGTGCAGGGCCTTCTCCATCCCAGGGACGGACACTGTCAGCCCTGCAAGGCAAAAAAAAGGCAGGAAAACTGGGTGTGAAGAGCAGGAATGGGCCCACAGGGGTGATAAAAGCTCTTTTCCTGGTGACAAACACACACAGAGCGCTTGGAGACACTGGGCAGGATAAAACAACCTGCTCTGGAGGTGACACAAAGCTGGCAAGGGTAAACATTTGCCTCGAGCAAAGTCAC